AGACCCCATCATATTTTGCCAAGAAAGGCCCCTTTTTATTTATTTTTAATCAAATTAAAATTTTTCTCTTATTTTTTAAATCAAAGTATACCAGAGAATGCAACATGACTAGTCATTAAGGAAATGTAAATTAAAGCCAGTGAGATACCACTTCACATCCATGAGAATGGCTATCATCACAAAGACAGACAATAACAAATGTTGGAGAGGATGTGGAGAAACTAGAATCTTCATTCATTGCTAATGAGGATGTAAAATAGTACAGCCACTGTGGAAAACACTTTGACAATAAACGTAAACTTTCCATAGGATCTAACAATTCCACATATAAGCATATACCCAAGGGAAATGAGTACATATGTCTATACAAAGACTTGCACCTGAATGTTCATGCAACATTATCCATAATAGCCAAAATTGGAGACAAGCCTTATGTCTATCATGGTGAATGGACAACAAAATTTGGTATATTCTTACAATGGAATACTGCTCATCAGTAAGAAGGAACAAAATACCAAAAAGCTGAAATGTGGTTGAACCTCAAAAATATTATGCTAAGTCAAAGAAGGCAGAGATAAAAATCAAAAAACAAAAACAAAACCCTGGTAGATGATTCCCATTTATGTGTGATGTCCAATAAAAGTAAATCTATAGAGAAAGTAGGTTAGTGGCTTTCTGGGGCTGAGGATGGGAAAGAAGATTAGCCATAAATGGGCATGAGAGATCTTACTGGGATAATGAACAGGCTCTAATACTAGTTTATGGTGTTATGATGGTTGTATATATATCAGTAAATTTACTTGAAGTCCCTGAACTATATACTTAAAGTGGGTCAATTTTATGATATATACATTATATCTCAATAAAATTGTTAAAAAATATACCAGGGCTTCTTCAGGCCTTGAGAAAAATGGCCTTACCATTTCAGCACAGCCTTGGTTCACTCTGATTCTAAAAGTATAAGCTGTGCATTGTAGAATGTTCCACATATAAAATGTTTACCTCAACTTCTGGCTTCTGGTTCTGCTTGTAAGGACCTTGGAAGATGCCTCTCCATTCTAGCAACAGGTAAAAAGCTGAACAAAATTGAAAAGTAACAACTCTTCTTGGACTCCTAAGATAGGTGAGGACACAGGGCAAACTGCTGGCCCCAAGAGTAGAGAGACAGAGAAGTGAATACAGGTAGTGGCAGCTTACCAGAGCAGAGACTCACAAGCAGAAACCACCACAGGAACCAGTAACAGGGGCTCAATATCCAGACTCTAATTGATAACTCACTGGCGGCTCAGTGCAGGAAAGTCTGGGAGTTAAAAACTCAAGGGGAACCCAGACACAGGAATGCCCCCACAGTATCATGAGATTTACCTTCAGGAATCTGGCCAGGTTACCGCAGCAAATCCCAGAGAAAAATTCCCTGTGCTTCTAGCGGGGAGAGTACCATTTTGAAGTACTCCAGAGTCCTACGTTCTTAACAAGGTCTGCCCTCAGGAGAAACTACTTTGCCAAAGCCTAATCTACTGAGGTATTATTATCATAGCCTAACTGAACCGGGGGAAAGGAAAAACCATACTCTAGCTTACCTTAGCCTTCCATGAAGGAAAAGATAAATACTCAACTCCAGTCCACTCTGGTCATCCTATTCCACCTAACAGGGAAGGAAGAAAACTTCAAGAATGGTTGTGAAGTTCACTGTCCAGAGCATAGGCTCACTGAACGACTGAGACCTAATTATAGGACTGTAGAATGCTTCCTCTCCCCCCATGGCCCACCACTTCATTATTAAGGGCCTATTTACAGCAATTCTTTTCCTTGGTACATCATGTCCACCTTTCAAGAAATAGTTGCAAGGCATACTAAAAGGCAAAAACACAACTTGAAGAGAGAGAGTAAGCATCAGAACCAGACATGGCAGGATTTGGTATTATCAGACCAGGAACTTAAGGCAGCTACGATTAATATTCTAAGGGCTTTAATGGATAAAGTAGATAGAATACAAGAACAGATGGGCAAGGTAAGCAGAGAGATGGAAATCCTAAAAAAGAACCAAAAAATAAATCTGAGAGATCAAAAACACTGTAAAGCAAATGAAAAATGAAGAATAACATCTTTTTCATTAATGTTATTAAGAAAATCATAAGGTAGAGAAAATACATTTATAATACTACATTGTAAAAAGTCCATAAATGGGTGGGCCTTTGCAGTCCTAACACATGCTGTTAAAGGGTCAACTGTATGCATATTTATTTATGCTTAAAAATAAGAGAAATGAATGACAGCAATGCTATAAGGGATGGGGAGAGGAACTGGGACTATTTTGTTATTATACGGCACTTGCACTACTCATATAACGTGTGGTATAATGTTACTTAAAAATGCACTTGGATTAGTTGTAACTGTATACTGCAAACCCTTAGGGCAACCATTTAAAAAGTAAAAAAAAAAAAAAAAAAAAAAAAAAAAAAGAGAGAGAGTGGGAAAGAGAGAGCAGTATAGTTAAAATGCTAAGAAAGGAGAGAAAATGAAATCACATAAAATGCTCAATTAAAACTCACAAAAGGCAGAGAAAGAGTAGAAGACAAATTGAGGAACAAGAAACAAGGGCAACAAATGGAAAACAGTAACAAATACGGTAGATGTTAATCCAGCCATAGCAATAATCACCCAGGTGCCTTAACACTACCCGACAATACTTACAATACTTACTTACAATAAAGCCACAGTAATTAAGACAATGTGATATTGGTGAAAGAACAGACATATAGATCAGTGGAACAGAGCCCAGAAATAGACCCACATGAGTGCAGGCAACCTATCTTTGACAGAGAAACAAAGGCAGTGCAATGGAGAAAAGATCGTCTTTTCAACAAATTTTGTTAGAACAACTGGACATCTGCATGGAAAAAAAAAAAAAGAAAAGAAAATCTAGACATATGCTTTACACTCTCACAAAAATTAGCTCAAGATGGATCGTAGAGTAAAATGCAGAAGTGTAAAGTATATTCTAAAACTCCTAGAATATAGCATAGGGGAAAAACCTAGATGACCATGGTATGGCAATGACTTTTTAGATATAATGTCAAAAGCACGATCCATGAAAGAAATAATAGATAAGCTGGACTTTATTAAAATTAAATTTTTCTGCTCTGCAAAAGACAAGAGAATGAGAAGCCACAGATAGGGAGAAAATATTTGCAAAGATTCTTTTGATAAGGAATTGTTATTCTAAATATATAAAGACCTCTTAAAACTCAACAAGAAGCAAAGAAACAAACAAAAACTGACTAAAAAATGAGCCAAAGACTTTAACAAACACCTCACTAGGAAGATATAAATATGGCAAATAATCATATGAAAAGATGATCCGCCTCATATGTCATCAGGGAAATGCAAATTAGAAAACAACAATGAAACATCATTACATACATATGAGAATGGCCCAAACTTGGAACACTGACACCATCAGATGCCAGCTGGTGAGGATGTAGATCAAACAGGAACTCTTGCGCCTTGCTGATGAGAATGCAAAATGGTGCAGCCACTTTGAAAACCAGTTTGGTGGTTTCTTAGGAAACTAAACATGCTCTTACCATGTAATCTAGCAATTGTGGTCCTTGGGATTTGTCCAAAGAAGTTGAAGACTTAGATCCACACAAATACTTACACATAGATATTTATAGCAGCTTTATAATTGTCAAAACTGGTAAGCAACTAAGATGCTCCTTAGTAAGTCGATGGATAAATGGACTGTGGTACATCTAGGCAACGCGATATTATTCAGCACTAGAACGAAATGAACTATCGTGGAAGATGTGGAGGAAGCTTAAACGCTTATTACAAAGTGAAAGAAGCCAATCTGAAAAGGCTACAGACTTTATGATTCCAGCTACCTGACATTATGGAAAAGGCAAAACAATGGATACGGTAAAAAGATCAGAGGTTGCCAGGGGCCAGGAAGGAAGAGGAATGAATAAGCAGAGCACAAAGGAATTTTAGGTCAGTAAAAATACTCTGTATGATACTATAATGATGGACACGTGTCATTATGCATTTGTCCAAACCTATAGAATGTCCAACACCAAAAAGTGAACCTTAATGCAAACTGTGATTAGGATGTTACAAGTAGGTTCACTGACTGGAACAAATGTAACACTCTGGGGGTGGGGGGATGTTGATCATGAGAGGCTACGCATGGGGAGGGGAGCAGGAATATATGGGAACTCTACGTTTCTCTCAATTTTTCTGTGAACCTAAAACTGCTCTGAAAAATAAAATCTTTTTTAAAAAGAGCAGCATTTGAAAGGTTAACTAGTTTTAGATGGGAAAGGGAACATAGATAATTATTTTTTGCTGAATTAAAATTTAAGAAAATTAACAAAGACTGAAACAGTCCCCACTTTAGGCTTACTGAAGGACAACCTCATAGAGAAAGACAAAGTGCACGTAAAACTGAATTATTTTGATAACATTTTTAAAATTATAGATGTATCATTTCAGTGTCCCCTTAGCTATTATAAGTCTGGTTTTAGTTTTAAAATAAAATTGAAATGTGTACCATAAAAAAATTTCCTCTACCCTCAAAAGTTCCAGAATATTTACTATGAATTAACTTTTAGTTACAGAGTTATTTTACCTGACTGACTCTTAACTTTTCCATTGGTTAAATTCTTTTTTAAAAATTTTTTTATTGTTTATTTACTTTTAAGAGGGAGAGAGACAGAGCTCTAGCAGGGGAGGGGCAGAGAGAGAGAGGGAAACAGAATCTGAAGCAGGCTCCAGGCTCCAAGCTGTCAGCACAGAGCCTGACGTAGGACTCAAACTCACAAACTGTGAGATCATACCTGAGCTGAAGTCAGATGCTTAACCGACTAAGCCACTGGTTAAATTCTAAAGGAAAGTAAGTAATGTGTGTACAATTCATTTCTATGGTATAAAGGGGAGTGTGAGAGATTTTATTCTAACACTGGTTTTAATCCTGATTTTCCCTCTTTATTTGCATGCAGGACTATTACCTCATATAACCAATTCTTTCAAAAATTCACAAGATATCAAGCACAGTGTGGTAAGTCCAGTATTTCTCAACAATCTTTAAATGGAACGTGCTTAAATAATTGTATCCTGCATATTTCATAAAGAATAAATGGGGAGAGGGTTGGAATTATTGTTTAAAATGGTTTATTCATCATTTATTTATGAGTGCTGATTATGTGTGTAGCTTTCTTTTAGGAGATGGGGATACACGATAAACAACCAAGATTACAAATTGGGAACTGATGATGTTGTGTCTTCTTCATAGTCACCAACTCTCCTCTTTCTCATGTGAGGCGATAACTATAGAGGTTATATTGACAGTTTAAAAACAAAAACAGCTTTTCTCTGATTTTAAACTTTCAAATAATACAGAGAAATAGAGACACAAGTAAAAATTATCTGAAATCCTTCCCCTCCCCACCAGCAATAATTGCCATTAACATTTTAGTGAACTTCCTCAGAAATACCTCTCTATATTTATGCATACATAAAGATGCACACACACACACACAGAATGCCTTGACGACATCCACTGCCCTCTGCAATCTGCTTTAATCACTAAATATTTTCATGGACATATTCTTTCAGTATTAGCAATAATATTTATCGTTTTAATGGATACGTAACGTTCCATTGACTGGATATATCACAAATACCCATACTGCTAGGCATTTAGGTTTTTCAAATTGGCAACTATTGTAAACAATGCAGTGATGAGTAAATTTAAATGTAAATTTTTTCAATTGTACAATTATCTCCTCAGGATACTTTCTCATAAGTAGAATTCTTGGATCAGGAGTTATGCTTATTTTAAGTCTTGGTATATGGCCAAATGCCTTCCAGAAAATTGGCCTCATGTACAAGCAGTTCTCAAGAGCACCTGTTTTCCTATATTTTCTCTAACACTGGCTTTAAAAAATAATTTTAGGGGCACCTGGGTTGCTCAGTTGGTTAAGTGTCTGACTCCGGCTCAGGTCATGATCTCACGATTCGTGGGTTCAAGCCTCGCATTGGGCTCTGTGCTGACATCTAGCTCAGAGCCTGGAGCCTGCTTCAGAGTCTGTGGCTCCCTCTCTCTGGCCCTCCCCTGCTCACGCTGTCTCTCTCTCTGAGAAATAAATAAAAAAACATTAAAAATTTTTTAAAAATAAAATAAAAAATATTTTTAATGTTTCCCAATTAGATAGATGAAGATATTTTATTTTCCTTTAAATTTTAATTTCTTTGATTATTAGTGAGTTTGAGCATCTTCTGCTTATTACTTATTCATAGTTTTTTTTGTGTGATTATAGTCAGTTTTCATAATTCAAGGTATGAAAACCTTGAGTTTTGCTTCCTTTTTTTTGTTAATGTTTTATTTATTTCTGAGAGAGAGAGAAACAGCGTGAGTAGGGGAGGGGCAGAAGAAGAGGGAGATACAGAATCTGAAAGAGCCTCCAGGTTCTGAGCTAGCTGTCAGCCCAGAGCCCGATGTGGGACTCAAACCCACGAACTGTGAGATCATGACCTGAGCCAAAGTTGGACGCTTAATGGACTGAGCCACCCAGGTGCCCCTTTAGTTATGTTTTCTAAAGTCCCTACTAACACTGAGGTAGTCATTACAGAACCATTGCTCCTAGGAGAAATGTAGGGCCAGGTTCCTGTCAGCCTCTGGTCACAACATTTCATCAGCTGTAAATTTGTGTTTATGTGTGTTTCTTATTTCATATATATTGTTGATTTGCTGACATTGAACTAACAGCCAACAGCTCTATAAATCACGCCTGAATGAAGTTTATCTAGCAAACGCATTTTCTCCATAAGGCACATCAAAGTCTTCTTGCACGTAGGAACATTACACAGCACTTCAGCCCTACACTGAGGGACCTTTTAAATAGTGAAACCAGGGGCGCCTGGGTGGCTTAGTCGGTTAAGCGTCCGACTTTCGCTTCGGTATGATCTCACGGTTCGTGGGTTCGAGCCCCGCGTCGGGCTCTGTGCTGACTGCCAGCTCAGAGCCTAGAGCCTATTTCAGAGTCTGTGTCTCCCTCTCTCTCTGACCCTCCCCTGCTCACGCTGTCTCTCTCTCTCTCTCCTAGAAATAAATAAAAATATTTAAAAAAAAATAAATAAAATAAATAGTGAAACCACTCACAAAATGCATAAATATGCAAAAAATCATGGCACTAAGTAGGCCACAAAAAGGACGCTTGTGTAAAGTATGAGAGATGAAACCAGAAGGCAAAGTGTCCTCTTGTTTGACCCTGACTGGAAATGTGTACATCAGGCAACTCAAATTGTTAACTGCTCTGTGCACGTCCTGGAATGCCTCAAAAGTCCTGCACATATTGGCTTTGGGGTTACAAATTCATTTTAATGAGTAGGAAAATTGGAAAATATGGAATCTATGAATAATGAAGATTGATTGTATTCATTTCCTTTGCCCATTTTTCTTTCTTTTTTTTTTTTTGCCCATTTTTCTATTAGGGTGTTTAGCTTTTTCTCATTGATTTGTATAAGCTATCTCCATATTAGGATAGTACTCTTTTGCCTATCCTATTTTATACATTTTCCCCCAAGTTTGTCCTTCTATTTTACTCTTAGCATCTATTACTACAGTGGGTTTTGACAGAAGTATCAAACTCCCTTCTGAATGAGGAAGCACATCATTGGAAAAGGAATTTTATTAAGTTTCTATCGTTGTGAAAGCGGTTGGTATTTATTTTTATATTTTTCACAGGCGCACCAAATTCTGTTTAGTGATTTTTCTCCAGCACCTCCAAATTATGAAAAATCACGTAAGTCCTGTCCTAAGCTACCACTTTATAGCATGTTTGGCCTTGATTTTAATTACAGTCTTCACTTGATATTCTCATCCCTTCCAGAGTCTGATGTCATTCAAGGCCTTTCGCATTTCTGCTTCTTTCCTCCTGTCATGCACCCCGTTCCTCTGTTGTTCCTCTCCTCACAGCAAGGATGGAAGGATGCAGAAATAAAGGGAGGGAGAAATCCCAGAGAGACATTTGCCAGCAGCAGCTCTGAAAAAACACTATGCATGTGAGAAGGTTGTGGTGGTGACAGACGTTGGTGGGGCTGGGAAGCTAGTATGTATGTGAGTGTTTGAAGCCATTGATTAAAAGTGATTTCAGAATATTAGTAAATTTCATCTATTCATATAGACTGGACACTCCATAGATGGACTCTACCGTAAGCACTTAACACAGTGCCTGTCTCTTTTACACCAGGTATGAGAACTAAAAAGCCAGCACCTAAGAATCTGATGATCTACAATCGACTAAAGAATGACTTTCTGAGGCGTGTAAGAATCTTTTCACTTGTCACCCAACAGTGGATCCCTGGAGTAGTGTCAGTGAGTGTGCACAGTGCGGCAGTGAGGGTGGTGGTGTGTGTGTGTTCAGAGTTGGTGTGAAGGTGATCCCAAATTTACAATCAAGTGACAAATAGAAAAGTACGCTACTCTGAGGAGCATTCTTTCTTAAAGCATCATGAACATTTTGTATAGATCTCTCCGGTTGTTATGGGAACAAGGCTCAAAGAGGTTTAGGTGGACTGGAAATTTCTCTGGTACTTGCCTAAATTTTCATCAGTGATATCAGTGATTTTCTGGATTCTGCCTCTTGAAAGAAAAAAAAAAAAAGCAATAGGTTCTCAGATTGTCCTTCCTTTCTGGAGACCGACCTGGGTGTCCAGAGTCCTCGGCCCATTCTTCTGCTTGTTCCACCACCCAATATCTCCTCTCTCTGCTCCCCCTGACATGGCCCTCCAGGGCAGGGGCTCTGTCTTTGCCGATCAGACTTTCTCAAAATCCCGTATTTTTAAAAAAAGTTTATTTATTTATTTTGGGAGTAGGAGAAAGAGAGAATCCCAAGCAGGCTCCTCACCATCAGCACAGAGCCCAACACGGGGCTTGAACTCACAAACTGTGAGATCATGGCCAGAGCTGAAGTCAAGATAAAGACACTTAACTGGCTGAGCCACCCTGACTCCCCTCAAAATCCAGTAATTTTTAACAAGATGTTAAAATGGAATTCTTTTTTTGTCTTAAAAGTTCTGGCAGAGACTCCTAAAGAATGTGTTGAAAAAAAGAACAAAAACAAGTTTCTACAAGCACTCCACTGACTTCAGCTCATTTTATATAAAAGTTACAACTGAATATTTTTGCTATCCCATTACTTTTGTTTATTAAGATTTATCTTTAAATTAACTTGATAAAGGGGCGCCTAGGTGGCTCAGTTGGTTGAGTGTTTGACTTCAGCTCAGGTCATGAACTCACGGTTTGTGGTTTGTAGCCCCACGTTGGGCTCTGTGCTGACAGCTCAGAGCCTGGAGCTGCTTCAGATTCTGCATCTCCCTTTCTCTCTGCACCTGCTCAAGCTCTGTGTCTTTCTGTCTCTCAAAAGTAAATAAATGTTAAAAAAATTTTTAAATAATAAAATAAATTGACTTGAAAAAAATCCTAGCCTCACCCTAAGAAATTATATTTGTGACATCACAGATTTGGTATTCTAGTTATTCTCTAGCATTAGAGAAAAATCCTGACTATTAAAATAAGAAATGTTATTCAGGTACCACCTAACATTATCACAAGAACCACCAGTTACATATATATACATATATATATATACATATATATATATGTATACACACACACACACACACACACATATATATATATATATATCACTTCGGAACATGCTAGTCTATGGGCACCATGTAGCTAATCTCACAAAATTATGGAACCAGGCTGGACAACCCACCTGGGTTCCTAGGTAACTAGTCTATTCAATGATCGTCTTCCAGAAATTGTGCACTTTTCTTGATCTTTCTGCTTTAGGCTTTGATAAGTTTCCTAGGGAGCATTGTAAGCACGAGAGGGCGGGGCTGGGGCAGGCTGGGGAGGGAGTTCTTTGGGGGCATCTGAAGCTGGGCAGTGGACTAAAAGATGTATTGTGCGGGTGGCCTGGGACCTCCCTTCACCATAGGGTTGCTGCAACCTTCTAGGAAGGGTAGATGATTTCCTGAAAGTGTATTTACTGCTAGCTAGGCCTCCTGGGGGTTGCTTGGGAGAATCATTAACTATTGCTAAATAAATCAGTCCCTCTTGCTGCGACGAGTTGGACTGGTGCCAAGCGATTCCACTGCCAGTAGCCGCAGCTGCTCTGGGGAACAGTTGCCTTTCTCTTTGAGATACTTCCCCGACCCCCTCCCCTAAACTGATTTTTCTATACTCACAGTAGCCTCCTTTAAGTCAACAATTCCTGACAAATTAGTGGCATTACATCCTCCCCTTGTTTTTACGGTACAACAACAGGCTAAAAGTACTCCCTGCCCCCAACCTCCCTGCTCCCAAAATGAACATGGAGTACTTGTTTGGGAAACTTTGGGCTTGAAGTTCTGACCAAAAAGTATAAATCATGACCTTTCATTTATTAGACTTGGCAAAAATCTTAAATTTTTTTTAGAGGTGCTATATTTTGGGGGAGAACAAGCATTGAAAGGTAAAATGTATAAATTCCTGCATCAGCAACAAGTAGGGATTGAATGAAATCTTCAGCAACACATAAGGATTGGAAGAAAGGTTTAACCATCATTAATAATAGTCTCACTTTTTAAAGTATTTCCTGGTGTCTAATGCCTTGATAACCATCTTCTTAATATTGCTATTTGTGGGTCCTATCTTCAAGGAACTCACGCTGTAAAATTGTAAAGTAGAGAAATTCACACCCAGGAATGTCCAGACTAAAGGAACTGTCGGGGAGGCAGGGGAAAGAATCTTACCACTCAGGGATGATTCAGCGAGGGGCAGGAGAGAAGCAGTGATGGTTGTGATTTGAGTTCCTGCGTTGTTTCTCTCGCTCGCTTATGGATTGGCCTTCCTAACAGAGACACGATGTATGTAATAGGTTAACGGAGGGGAAGAAAATGCATCAACAACCGGCTCTCTGCCCCCGGTGCATTTACTTCCATTTACCCAGACCGTACTCCTGCTCTGGAATGAGGTCTTGGTAACTTCACTCCCAGTTCGGTGCAGAAAGTAACCTCAGCGGATGGGCAAGTACTAACAACCAGGCCACTTTTCCCCAGTTTCAGAACCGGGGTAATTCTACCAGCAAGATTGGCTCGTCTGAAGACTCAGAAAGTGATCAGTACTCCGTTTACACTCTGGGAGGATCGTTGTCGTCACTTAACTGAGTCAGAAAACCCAGTCCCAGAGCTGGAGGCCTGCAGCTTCCTTTAGTTATCGCCTACTTTGAGGTAAGAGTGGGCCCGGTAATATCTAGACCTTGACCTTAACCAATTGGCTTTTTCAGACACTTCCTTGGGCTTCAAACACCTTCCATCCCTCGATTTCTTTTTTCTCTATTAAACTGGAAGCGGGAACAAAAGTTATCGTTATAATCACTACGTAAAATCATTTTTTAAAAGTAAATACCTGGAGCCACGCTTCTCTGCAAGAACCACAGAAATGGTGCTGTGGCCCCGACAGCTGTGGACTCCAGCATCAAGGAGCCCGGTCCCTTCTATCTGGAGTCCCGGGCGGGGAGGGCCCAGGGTCTTGAGAAAGGCTTTTTTGTATTCAAAGCAATAGCCCAGAAGAGCTGCAGCCTTGCACGGCCAGGCTTTCCTCCTCGCGGGGCGCCGCGGGGAAGCAAACGCGCCCGGGCCTTCGGGCAGGCGGCGGGGATTCCGGGGACACCCGCGCGTAGCTGGGGGCGGGGAGAGCCGCGGCTTTTCCAGCCCAAGCTCTCCCGGGAGGAGCCTCTCGGCCTCGCGGCCCCGCCCACGCCCCGCCCACGCCCCGCCCACGCCCGCGCCCACGCCCCGCCCCTCTGCCCGCGGCGGGCTTCCTCTCTCCCTCCCCCTGCCCCGCCTCCCGCCACGCTCCTCCCTCTCGCGGCCCCGCACGTCCCGTCCGCCTCCCGCCCTCCCGGGCGGAGCGCGCTGGAGGCGGGGCCCCGGCGCGGCTGGCGTGGCGGCGGCGCGAAGTCCCCAGGCGCGGGAAGGAGCCAGACGCGGTCCCGGGCAGCAAAGGTCCCCAACGGCTGGTGTCCTTTGAGGGCAGGCGGAGCCGTGAGGTTACGAAAGTAGCTACTTCCCACCTCTTCTGCCCACCCCCCGCCCGGCTCTCTGCCCCCGGTGCATTTACTTCCATTTACCCAGACCGTCCTCCTGATTTCTGTTGAATAGAAAAGGCAGTTCATTAAAAGTCACACCACCACCCCTACCTCCCCCCACCCCTCAACTCCTGGTGGTTATTTTTGTTCTTTAACCCAGGTTAGGCTAAATACATTCCCGGGAAGCCATCTGGTCTGGTTCCCGGGATCCCTTCGTATGGTTTCCATTAAGCTCGCCAAACCGTGCATTGAAAATGCAGCCTTGGAGCCACTCAGGAACCTCCAGAATTGTTGCCTTTGCCAGCCTCGTTTAGAGAATCTCAGGCAGAGGGAGGTAAAGGCCTCTGTTTAAGCTCTGAGTCAGGGACCCAATGTTCTGGCCTTACGCTGTAATTAATATGCTTGACTACTCCCAAGAAAATACAACCCTCTATGTTAATTGGCTTCATTCATTCATTCATTCATTCATTCAGTATTTGTTTAGTAGATGCAGGGCATTGCTTATTAGAGTTCTGTTTTAATTCTAAAACTATGTCAACAGCTTTACAGATGAGTTTACAAAATACCCTGGCCTCAGAAATTCGGTTGGACAGCAACATTTGTGCGATTGGGTCTCCTTTGGTGTGTCCCATTTCTCTACCCCACCCCCAGACAAAAAAACAAATAATGGCCTGTGGGAATATATTCCCTGACACATGGATAGGGGTTTGTGGTCCAAGAAAAAAGGACACAGGCAGGTTCATAAAATCATAGTGTTATAACTGCCAAGTTCCTTAGAATTCTTCGCAAATAAGCCTGTCGGTTTATTGAGGAGACCCCTGACGTATAGAGAAGGTCACTCGGCTGTCAGTACCGTGGCCTAATTTGGGGAGGAGACAGAGCCATCAAGTGCCTTCTTATATACTGCAAAAAGGACTTTGATCAAACTCAGTTCAGTTGTAATACAGCCTGTCTCTCTGCTCTTGACTCCACAGTCCCTTCCTGGTCCTGCTCTGGGTCTTGCCTGGGGACAGGGTGGGAGAGTGTTTGGGCTCTTTCTTCCTTCCCCTAACCTACCTTCACTCCCTTTTTTCTCTTTTTCTTCCCTTTCCTTCCCCTAACCTACCTTCACTCCCTTTTTTCTCTTTTTCTTCCCTTCCTATCTTCTCCAGCCCCCCCAACCCCTGACCGTGAGATTTTATTTGGGTTTTTAAAATGAAACCAGGTGCTGCATAAAACAAAAGCAAAGTAATAACAAGGAAAGACTATCCAATGCCTAAGGAATGTGCTGAGTTTTATGACTCAGGCTGTCCTGGCAAAGAACTCCGACTTACATGGAGAGGTGGGTGGCACAGAGCACGGACCATACATGGCAGCCCTGGCCTCCCCAGATAGGCACGGTCAAGGCAGCCTGTGACTCATTTTCATAAAACCAGAGACTCTTGTTCCTTGTGGAATGAGACTTCCTGGAGGCTAGAGCCAAATGACCTTCAACTTTTCCCTACGAGTCCGGTTCAGCCTGATATAGCAGGGGCCACCTTGATGTTTGCAGGGGAAAGGAGCCTGGGCAGAAGGCCATCCCTGCGAAAGAAACAGGCTTGTGGACTTGGGCAAGGGTTTTGGTGCACTGAAGTGATGAGTAACATTCATGCTGCAAAGAGACATGAAAAATTAGCTCGTATTGTACTGGAGACAATGGCTTGTGCGCTCCAGGTGACAGGACTGCCCCAGCGCCTTGGAAGAGGAGAGTGTGGCGGAGGAGCTGGGATCCCAAGGGGTGTTTGTTCTGCGGTGGTGTGTGGTGAAGAGCACAGGAAAAGTGGGTCCCATTCGGGCGCCATTTCTGGGGGGCTATTGCTAATGCGATCGGGAGTCAGTAAGAGCAGGAGTGGGGGGCTGTCTATAAACACTGCAGAGACGCCCAGGCACACATGCTCACATTCTGAGAATTCTTTGCACATGAGCATAGGAATGGGGTGAGGTGTACATTTTTTCTGTTACTAAGAGACAGGCTGAGAGAGCTGAGAATGTCTCTCCCCTCAGAGATGGTGGGAGGCGTCTGAACCTGGGTGACAATGGTCTGTTTGGGCCCCCTTCCTGACACAGGCCTGGGTGGAACAGGACTGATAGTGTTCCTCTGGTTTCTGTGCACCTCAGAGGAGGCTGTCTGTCCCTTTTTGAATGAGAATGGATCTTGAAAGGCCTAAGTGAGATCTTTGCGCGGGGGGGCCCCTTGCCTTGGAATGGGCCCTTATTTTTCCTTTTCTTCTTTCTTTTTTTCTTTTCCTTTCCATGGAATACTGATTAAAAAGCTACGGTGACTATTCCATAATTTCAGGAAAAGCTCTGCTCAACTTGTTCATTAAAGTCTACTTACCTGGAAAAATAAAGTCTTTTAAGGACCATGACTTCATAAATATTTATAGTGTGAACAGGCGTCACTCCGGTCCTGTAGGAGAATGGGCTCATTCAGTTTTATTTATGATGTGATGCTCGGGTGAGTGACATCCGTCATCTGGGTCGGTCCTACACTCTGTTCCACTGAAGCATGTTTATGGAGTGATTATGCCTGCAAATATTTGCTATATTTAGTCCCTCTCCCCCCTAACCTCCTTCTTAGTCTTAAACTCCCCAGACTAGCAAAAAGCCAAACTTATGGTCTAGGGAAGATTTGAACCCTAATGACAAGGCACAGGAGCTTGACGAGTGGGGAGAGAATTCGAGGGGCAACAATGGCTGTTATTACAGCATTCCCACACTGCGGTGTGTTGTTGGGCCTCTGTCTAGCAGGTGAGAGCTCTCAGCTGGGCATTTGACAGGTGATGGGCACACGCCTGGGTGATGAACGCAGGTGGATACTGATGAACCTTTCCTTCCCGGGAGCTTTCTCTGGACAGGATCTCATAGCTCTCAAATCTGTCACAGTGCACCCTGGGGATCAGGGGCAGGGGACGGTGCGAGCTCTGTGGCCTCCGCTGGGTAAAGGTTTCTGTTGTAACCTGAGGCTGTCCCCTCCTGGCCATACCTCGCCCCTGGCTGGGGGGTGGCAGCTGCCCTTCATCAGCTGGGGAGGAGGGAGGACCACTTTGGCTTCTAATTTTACAGCTTCACATGCCCTGACCTAGGCACTCCAGGCTGGTCCCCGGCCTGCTCCCGGCCTCAGTGCTCGCCTGGGATCAGCTTGGCCACCTATTGTTTATCCTGGGAAGGGCCAGGTCTTGGCACAGAGGGCTGAACTGTTGCCAGCGTTTTATTTTTAGGGACAGGAAAATGTTTGCTTTTTGGCAGCTGCTGGTTTTTTTTTTGTTTTGTTTTTTGTTTTTTGTTTTTTTTTGCCATACACCGAGATGGCGCAAAAAAAGGGCAAGTGAGAGATTCCAAGCCTTAAATTCATGGCATGTGACATAGGCAATAGTACCATGACCCTCTCAACAGAAGCCTTTGTGGAGCCTCAGGCTGTCTGTTAGCAGGCGTCTTGTGCCGAGGGGGTGGTCCCACCTGCTCCGTCCTGGCTGCGAGAGGTCTCCAGTCCATAGACTCCACACACTGGACCTCTAGTAAGTCCCTTTGCAGTGTGTCAGCTGGTCTGCGATTTTGTAGTTCTTACCTCCGTTCATTTCCTTCTCTCCCAATTCATAACACAGTCCAACTTGGTAGACACAGGAAGAAAAACAATCAGCCTGCTAAATCTGATGCTTATCGCACCTCCACAGACCCACCGTCATCGTCATCATGATGCTTGGTGCAAAGCAGCCACCTACCATGGCAAGAAGTGCATTACTACCCTTGGAGAGCGCAATTCCAAGTTTTACTGGAATTATTATTTGTCCCAACATGGTCCCTCTTAACACATATTTTTCGAGGCCCTGTGATTCTAATGACTGACAATTCATCTAAAAGCATTTCGTAAACTATAATGACATTAGGCAAAGGTAAAATGGAATGGAAACGAAAAACTGGAAACCAACTCATAAATATAGAGAACAATGTGGTGGTTGTCAGAGGGGAGGAGGGAGAGAGGATGGGCGAAATAGGTGAAGGGATTCAGAGGTACAAACTTCCGATATAAAATAAGTCAGAGATGAAAAGTACAACATAGGGAATATCGTCAATAATACTGTAATAACATTATGTGGTGACAGATTGTGATTACACTTAATC